TGCACTTGAAACAGTCTAAATGACAAGCAGTTATATACAAACGTGGAAAACCTCTTTGGAGCTCTTGGACTTGAAAACACGTTCTGAGTCACGAAGTCTGTCCTCTGCTTATACCAAGTACCATAAAACATAATTCTTCTATGAATTTATCTAGTTACATCTTAAATGTAGTTATATTTTTACCTGTCCTATTAGAATGCTGCCCACATCTTAAGTAATTTGGTGAGTAGGAACCTTCTTGTAACTTAGAGGTTTAGATTAGACATCAGGAAGAAATTCTTCACAGAGAGGGTGGTGAGGCACTGGAACAGATTGCCCAGAGATGGGGTGGATGTCCCATCCCTGGATGTCTTCAAGGCCAGGCTGGATGTGGCTTTGAGCAACCTGGAAGGTGTCCCTGCCCATGGCAGGGGGGTTGGAACTAGATGATCTTTAAGGTCCCTTCCAACCCTAACCATTCTATGATTCTATGATTCTAACTACCACTCTGTGTTTACTCCTGGCTCATTTGTACCTGTCTGTGGACATGCCACACTTGTCAGGATAACTTTGACAGTTTAGGGTTCTAGTGAAAAATTACTCAAGTTTACTGTTTGAAAATAAATGCCCTGCAAAATAGAGCCCGATTCCACCATGACTTAACGTAAGAGCCATCAGGGAAGTTAGTACCAGTTCACTGTAGAGTAAGAAAGTTTAGAAGTATTGCTAATGCCCTTCCCTGACCTACTGCTGTGCTGAGCTGAAGAGCAGAGGTTGTTCCTGGTAACAGTGTGCTTCTGTACTGCCCCACCTTTCCCATCTCACCACCACGCATGATCTGACTGTGAGGTTGTTTTGTTGTTTGGTTGGTTTGTTTTGGTTTCTGACAATTCTCAAAGGAAAAATACTCTTGGTCATGTTTTACCCCTTGATTCTCACATTGCTAATTCATGTCTTTGCCACCAGTTTGGACAGATGTGTGTACAGTTATTGCTGATATAACTCCATATATTGTGAGAAATGCTTAAAACAGGTACAATGGCTTTGTCCTTTGGACTGGGATCAGGTAAATGGTTGATTAAAAAATGAAATGGTATTGATCAGAAAGTCATATTACCTACATCTCTCCAGCAGCAATACAGCTGCCAAAAGCAAAGGTTCAAGGTTATATTCCTACAGTGGGGACTATACTGATCTCTAATTCAGTCTGTGACCTGGGGAACAAACCTGATCTCTCTGTGTGAAAAATGCGTAACTCCTTTTCTGAAAGTTCAAGGTCCACTAGTATGCCTTCTGATGTTTGCTGCAGGTCTAGTTTGTGGCCTTAGTCCTGAGTCAACCAGCCTTTTTCTATGTGTCATTTGCTAGAGACCCTAACTTTGAGTAGCTTACAGCATTGTACTCTGTATTTAAAGATTAACGGGAAGGCGTATCTTTAGCTCAAGCAGTGAAGGAACATAACTTAAATTTAATATATTATGTGCCTGAAATGTAACACTGTGGTACCTGAGCATGAAAATTTGTTACAAAAAAAAAGCTGTTCATTGTACCTACTGAGAGCTGGCTGGGAAGAGAGTGAGTTAAACTACAGAGCCGACTCTCTGTGACTCTCTTCTAAACGCTAGCATCTATAAGTGGTAAAATATCTATTGATCTGGTACCATCAGAGCCTGCAGGCAGTTTGCCTCGCCCATGTGCGAATGCTTTGCAGTTTTAAGAACCAGTGGAAAGTGCTGTGTAAGGATGTGTGGGAAATGAGAAATTGACATCATGTTTAGTGCACTGGACTCAGACGGCTTTAAGCTTTTTATGTTCATCCAGAAATGAGTCTGAATAAATAAGACTGGGATCATTCATTACAAGGATATATATTTTTCCACACAAAAAAGAAGTGCTGTCAACACTAAATAGTGAAGTCTGAGCAAGATGAAGTGGGAATTCCAGATGTATTCAAAGCTTGATCACGGTAAGAGTATTCACTGGCTGTACTTAGAATGATATCTAGTAAAAGTTGTCTCTGAAATGAAAAGATTAAAGGAGGAAAACCTTGAATGTGAAAATCCAGGTTCATGAATGCCTGTATTACAATTATTAATGATAAAACCAAATCCATATTTTTTCATTTGGAATATTTTTTCTTTGTTTGAATGTTACTTTGACATCATAGAATTAGCTGCATACATCTTTCTTCATAATGTTCTAATAATCATGCATTTTATCAGATTTGGAAAAGGAGAAATGAGATAGGTTAATATATTAACTGACAAGGGGCTAAAGACAAAAGGTAGAGAGGATTAGAATTTGAACAGTATCTTGAGTGAGTAGGAATTAGAACATTCAAATGATTCATCTCTTTTGAAAGGCACGAAAGTGGAGACAGGCTTAATCTTTTTCCCGTTTTAAGTGTACTTTATTGCCTATCAGCTTGCAGTCCAGACCTTCTGAACTACCTTTCTATCATGATGGTTTTTCATATTGTAAGTTATAAGTTTGCAATCTGAATGTAGCTGTTGTTAAATACTTTCTCTGTATGTTGAATGTGGATAAATTTTGGTTCTAGTGCAAGTACATTCAAGGCATTTTTGCAAGTTTACATTTACCTCTGTAAATTTCTATGACATGAAGAGTCTATGTCAACATCCTTCTCTATGTCAAATAGCTAATGAAAATAGCCCAGCTATTTTCCCTGACCCCCCTGACCCCAGCTATTAACCCCTTCCCTGACTCCCCACCCCAAAAAAAGACAAACTAAGAAAATACTGTCTTTTATACTCCTCAAAAATATCTCCCCTGCTGTCTTAGGAGTCAGTTATGGAGTTGTGTGATGTCTTAATTTATAACTATTCATAGCTTATATGCTGTAAATTCTCTCATCAAGAACATAAGTGCTTCATATTTTATTACTCTCATAAGGTATCCCATCTGTACAATAATTCTGAGGCATACAATGACTTTTTTAACACATCTTAATTCATGTAAGCTAATCATACCTCAAAAATTTGTTGTTAAATGATTGTACTATGTCTTTCAAGAAATGGCATGGTGAAATATCGTGTCCAGGAACAGTTCAACTAGTTTTCTTCCTCATTCATGTTATGTCAATATTATCTATAGGCTGTTGTCTTCTGGTTTATTGCCCTATAACCCTACATGTAATCCTGTTTAAAATTGATTACACTTACCCAGCTAACTCTCTGTAGAGCGTGTTCTTCCCTGTGTTCCTTGTACTACGTAAGGTACTAGAGTGGGGAAAAACTTTGTTGTGGTTTGCCACTGCATTATTTTTTTGAATCTTATTTTCCTCTGTGTTTTTGAGACTTGGATGGTGCAGAAACAAGACAAATAGTAAAATCCAGCACCTTTACTTCTTCTTTACACAGTACGTACAGGTATGACTCTCCCTCTTCCTTTTACTCCCACAGTACTGGAAATTAGTCAAAAACTCATAAATGCATGTCTTCTAAAAGGCTGGAATCGGAAAAAGGGAAAGTACTAAGTTACTGAAAGAACTGTATTATCAAGCCTGTTTGGATGTTCAAATGCAGTAACACAGAAAGAGGAAAAGGATAGACTTCTCCAGGAACATGGAATTCAGGGTTGTGTGAAGAACCTGATGTGATTTTGTGTTAAGCTTTTTACGCATTTATTTTCACTTGTCTGTGTATGTGGCTGGATATTTGCCATGTTTTTCATGCTGGAAAGATCTAATGAGCCTCCTTTGAACCTGACTGTTTGAGGCACCTTCTGTAAACCAAAACTTTTTACTTTATAGCCAGTGTTGTTCTAAGTAATTCACTCTCAATAGAACATTATCACTGTTATCACAACTTATTTTTAGGCAACTAGTCATGTGGAATAGTGATTATCCAAAAAGAAGTGTTAAATTATTTTGTTCTGCCCCCTGTATGTCTCTTCAATGTTTAGTATCAATGTAAAATTACAAACAACAAAAAAGGTTTTAATCTAAAATTAAATACGCAGCAGGACAAATATATATTACTAATGTTTTACTGAGGCAGTAGTGTGAAAGAAATGTAAAGAACATGATCTTTTTAAGAAGATATTACAGATTTCCCCACCCAAAAAAAAAAATTTGTACAGATACAATCTTGTATTACAATATTTGCATATTTCCAGGTTACTTAATGGGATACTCATGTAGTTGCTGCAGTTGATCTCTGTAGAGTTTACTGTATTATAGAGATTTAATCACAAGGTGTGCATGTTGATGTACACTGGGAGTCACAAAAATAACTACTTGAATTTGATCAGCTAAAATCTTTCTGTTGGCTTAAAGCATAAGTTTGCCCTAGTTTTCATCAGACAGTCTGGATGTCTACTACTTCTAATAAATGAATCAAACTCAAAGCTGTTGAGCAATAGGGATATAATCTGATTTGAGCCCAGAGGATTGAGAATATTTTTAGCTGGTAGGTTTTTTTCATTTGTTCTTTTGAAAACAACCCCCCCCTTTTTAGCTGCCTTCCTATGAACATGAAAATGTAAATGACAAAAACAGGGTGGCAAAGAATACATATCTTAGTGTAATTTATGTTGCAATAATCCTGCTTCTTTTCCTTGCTTGTGTATTTGGTGTAAAAAGATTAGTGTGTGGACTTAAACATTTTTCTTTAACCTATAACTAGCCATACGTGAGGTAGTACAGTCATGATAGACAGAACCTGATATCCATCTAAGGAAAGAAGTGGCAAAGAATGCTTTGTGCTCAAAAAACAGTGCTGAACTGTATTCTAGCATCTCATTGTGCTTTAGATAACTAAAAGATTAGATTTTTCTATTGTTAGTAGAAATAATTCCCAAACTAAAAACTGATTTTTTTTTTTTTAAATGTAGATTTATGTTAAGTCTTTGACAGGAGATGGAGAGCATAAAGCAAAGTCTGCATTGACATGAGTGAATATTAAGCCATTTGTGCTGGAAACAAAGGCTTTGATATTTTGAACTTTTACTTCTATATGAACTTCTCAACTCTTTTTTTTTTTTTTTTTTAACAACTGCAGCAAGACCAGCTTTATACTTGGGCTGCAGTTAGCCAACCCACACATTCATCAGATTACATTGAAGGAAGTTTTCCAAGGAGAATTCCATCTGTGTGGCCCCCACCCAAACCTCCAGATGAAGAACAAAGACTCAAAATTACTGAAGAAGGTATAGTTCTTGGACATAGACAAGATATATATATGACATGGGGGTGTGTGTGTGGTGTGGGGCTGTTGTCTCTTAGAATCCAAGATATAAACAATATTTTAAGTTCTAACAAATACCTGATTTTGAAGATCTTAGGTTAACATCAGAAATAATGTTAGCTAGTAGGAATCGAATAAAAAATATTCAGAAATAAATGCATTCTTTTTGTTAACAACCAAGATGTGTGCCTGGCATCTGCTGACTAATGGATTTCACCAGGTATTGTGACCTTTGTTCTTTTCCATTTTTATATACCTTTTATATACCTTATATACCATGAAATATGGCTACTTTCCTTAAAAGGAAGGAAAACTCCAGAAGCCCACTGATGGGATATTGAAAGTTATTAGAGTGTTGTAAGGTATTCTCTGTGGATTCAGCAGTCCCCTGTTGACAAGGAGATAGGAAAAGTGTATCTGAAAAATAAATTGAGGTCATGTTTTAAAAGTCAGTTTATCTTAAAATTTCTGAGTTTTCTCTACCAGATAAATTTCTGAAGTCTTCTGCATACTCATTAAAAGCTATGTTTAAGCTGAGAATTAACCAAACCAAAAAAACCCTCAAAACACCATCAACAAGGTTAGTGTTGGTGGAAAAGGGAGGAGCAACTGACATCACCTACCTGGACTTGTGCAAAGCATTTGACACTCTCCCGCATGACATCATTGTCTCTAAATTTGAAAGACAAGGCTTTGAAGGGTGGACCACTAGGATAAGGAATTGGCTGGATGGTTGCACTCAGAGTTGTGGTCAATGGCTCGATGTCTGAGTGGGGAGTCGTGTTCCTCAGGAGTCGGTATTGGGAGTGGCACTGTTTTAACTCTTTGTCAGCGACATGGACAGTGGGATTGAGTGCACCCTACACAAGTTTGTCAACAACACCAAACTGTGTGGTGCGGTTGAAGCACGGAGAGAAGGGATGCCATCCAGAGGGACCTTGGCAGGCTGGAGTGTTGAACCTCATGAAGTTCAACAAGGCCAAGTGCAGGGTCCTGCACCTGGGCTGGGGCAATCCCAAACACAAATATAGGCTGGGCAGAGAATGGCTTGAGAGCCTCCCTGAGGAGAAGGACGTGGGGGTGTAGTTGATGAGAAGTTCGAGATGACCTAGTAATGTGTGTGCTTGCACCCCAGAAAGCCAACTGTATCCTGTGCCGCACCAAGAGAAGCGTGGCCAGCAGGTGGAGGGAGGTGATTCTCCTCTACTCTACCCTCATGAGACCACACCTAGAGTACTGTGTTCAGCTTTGGGGCTCCCAGTATAAGGAGGATATGGACCTGTTAGAGCAAGTCCAGAGAGTCCTGAAGATGATCAGAAAGCTGGAGCACCTCTCCGGTGAAGAAAGGCTGGGAGTATTGGGCTTGTTCAACCTGGAGAATAGAAGGCTCCGGGGAGACCTTATAGCAGCCTTCCAGTACC